ACAGTCCCATGTAGTAAGTAAATGGGTGAATACAACATTACCCCGCATATATTCCAGCATTATCAGCCCAGGGGACATCAGAAATGGGCTTAACACATTGGACCCATTTGGGGAATCGAACCCGGGTCTTCGGCGCGACGAGCGGACGCTTTAACCACTAGGCTACCCCATCGTGCGTTAACTGGGAAAGTGTAATGGTTTTACAAGCAGCAAGGTAACACAATTGTAAGAGTATCAGTGTGTAAAGTGTTGATTCAATCTCCACAAAATGTAACTAGCATAAAATTACATTCTTGATTGATCAGATCAGGAGCCACTGGTTATCAAGTCTAATTTGTACTTTTCATGCAAGGGCGGTGGGGTAGCCTAATGGTTAAAGCTTTCTTTCGTCACGCTGAAAACCCGGGTACAATGATTCCCCACATGGGTACAATGTGTGAAGACCATTTCTGGTGTCACCCGCAGCGATATTACTGGAATATTGCTAAAAGCAAGTTTGGAAAGTGGTCAAACGTAACACACGTTGTATTTGGGATTACACTTATTCAGTAAAGTACAGATGCTTGAACTCCTGAGTCCTAACCCGAAAACCCGGATGGGACTCAACCCAACAAAAGTACTAGAATCTGTGTTACCTTTGACCACTTTCCAAAAGTGGGAGCCGTGCCAATTTATGCTCATCACAGGGGTACACAAAGTCTGTGGTCTGGACAACCAGTTGTCCGACTCCCAGTTTTGAGGAAGTTGCGTTCGCTGAGTGGGTTAGACGGCTGACGTTGTGTGCTGGCGATTAGGTGCATGACTTTGGCTGTGTGGGGTCGAATCCCAGAGGGGACTCAAACCAATAGAAGTACTAGAATCTGTACTTTACTGACAAAGTGTAATCCCAAAGAACGCGTGTTACAGTGTTCTATTCTTTCTATCAAAGGCTTACCCGTACTGGACACCATTATGGAGACCATCGTGATATACACTATAGCTTGAATATTGCTGACGTGGCTTTGGAGGAGTTTCACGCATCAGTTATTGACGTCATTTCATTACCTTTCTTCAGGACCGCCTCCGTGGTGTAGTGGTTAGAGCGTCCGCCCGGAGAGCGAAGGTCGCGGGTTCGATCCCCGACCGCGTCATACCAAAAGACCTTAAAATATGGTACTTGTTGGTCCCTGCCTGGCGCTCGGCATTAATGGGTACAACAAGGACTGGTCGCCTCGGAGTCAGTATAATGTGTCTGAGTGGGGTATTCATGCTTCACTGCGGCATGATGTCTCACTGGGCTAGCACTATAAAACCAGCTTAAGTCTGGGCTAGTACAAGCAGCCGCACATAGACAAACACACGCATGCACGTCGTCATATGAGCGAAATATTCTCAAGCACGACGTTAAACCCAATTTCACCTCACCTCACCTTTCTTCAGCCGCAGTAGAAAACATGCTGTAATGTTTCGCGATAGTATATTTGTTGTAACTTTCATTCAGTTTCAGAATTTGAATTGAAGCATCCAAACATTCAGATTATATCAATATCAACTAATGGTATTCCCCTTTGATCTTGTACCATCTGTTCAAGTGTATTTGTTATAGTGAGTAACTGACTTGCCTTTGCATGTGTTTGTACCATTTGGTTGAGTTATTCTCACCTTTTCGCGAACGCCTGGTATCATCAATATTTCATGGTGATTCATAAACACATGCAAACACGTACAATTGTAATGTCCACTGGTAAGGAATATTGCTTTTTTCAAAGGAATATAACTTATTGTCAACTATTAGGGAATGTAACACATTTGTACGACATTGCAGTTTCAAACATTACATGCATCTAGACGCGGGTATAATTGAATATAAAATGAAGTACCTCACAAAAATTAACGTGAGATAACGCGATAAGCCAGCAGTCACGATCTGCCTGGCTCTCATGACTTGTTTGTCTAATTTCCCTGGTGTTTGCCGCTGTCAGAACGTTAATAGGTGACACACAATGCGTGTACTGTGTGAGAAGACGTATGGTGTTTGCACAAGTGAACCGCAGACTAAGAGAAATCGATTCTGGTTAAGTGTCCAGATTTGCCACTGTATGAGTCTGCATTAACGGCGAATTAATGATATCTTGCAGGTATAGTTAACTGGCAGAGCATGCTGATACCAGTAATGACATGATACTGAGAAAAACGCTTTTCTTTTTATACATTCTTGCACTGAAACGAAAGGTTGACGTCTAAATATGTGGCCTATACATGTGGGAGTGTGTCGTATGTCTACATATCTTATGTCAGTATGTAAAACTTTGAATCCGATCCAGTCAATATCGAGTCGCATTTGGAACTTAGCCAGTGTGGTTGGGAAATCCCTGGGATCGTGACCAGTGGCCATATGACCGTTCTTGACAAATAGATTCTATTTCGATGGAGACTGGTTATACTCTAGCCTTGACGTTTTATTTTTATTGTTGAAGGTTGTTTGAATGGTGTTGTTTTGGTTGTTTGTTTGTTGTTTAATACCAAACTCAGTAATGCCTCGGTTATATGGCGGCAGTCTGTAAATAATCGAGTCTTGGCAGACAATCCAGTGATCAACAACATGAGCATCAATCCACGCACTTGGGATACGATGACATGTGTCAACCAAGTCATCGAGCCTGACCAGGCGGTGTTGTCTTGAGTGAGGATGCTCTAAACATTTCGAGTTCAAAGTAGTTTCAAAGTTTAGTGTTTTGCAACGTAAGTTGTTTTTAGTAGAAAAGGAGGTGACACCCGTGAATCTGGGGTAGAACTGATCTTCAGCAACCCATACCTGTCGTAAAGGTGACTTATGAGATCTGGTGAGATCTGTTATCGTTTCCCAGTTGGGAACATCCTCATCTAGCCAAATAGCTGTGCGGCGCAAAACAACAACAAAACAAACATCTGTGTGTGTGCATGATGATGACGAGAGGGATGGAAGACCGGCAACTATATTGAGAACATTATTCTTTGATTCCTCAACCTGTAAAGATCCGAGCTACAAGTGGTCTTCAGTAACCCATGCTTGTCGTAAGAGGCGACAGGATCACTTGGTCAGGCTCATGGCTTGGTTGACACATGTAACCGTATGGCAGTTGCGTAGAACGATGCTCATGCTGTTGATCACTGAATTGTCTGGTCCAGATTCGATTATCTACAGACCGGCGGCATATAGCTGGCAATATGGCTGTGTTAAACGACAAATGAACGACCTTTGAGTTTAGATTCCACCCACTTAATAAATGCTCATCACAAACTATTACTTTTCCCTGTGGTGGTTGGATCTTGAAACTGTACAAAAACTTGCTGCCGTAGGAGGCACAATTTAAGTGGACACCACATGTAAGCCGTTTTCAGTGTTTATCGAGACTGAAGCCACAGAATCGCTGAAGCCATAATGATCCTGCTTAACGCGGTCACCCGTCCACATTGAGCTAATTGGACAGGACAAACTCTAGACTCTTGATATGGAACAGCCTTAACACACATTTTCTTTGTTTAAGTAAGTTACATAGGTTTTATTTCGCTTTGTAAATTATATATGTTAACGTTATGTGTCAGTTAAAGCCGAAGTGAAGGTGGATAAGGAGGTTTGCAGTAACATAGATATTCGAGTCACGAGCACTGACAAACCAAAGGGACATTAACAGGACAAGGTTGGATTCGAACATACGATCAGCGGATCGTGGTAGGCTGAGGACAACACATTGAGGTTACCCAAGCACACCGGGGCACCCGTGCCCGTCTGAAAATTCATGTGGTGATATCTATAGTATACGTACTTGTCCATTGAGGAAAAGTGCCGCAGTGACACACTGATGAGTGAGTGAGTTAGTTGGGTGTTACGGCGCCTTTAGCAATATTCCAGAAATATCACGGCTGGGGACACCAGAAATGGGCTTCACACATTATACCCATGTAGGAAATCGAACCCGGGCCTTCGGTTTGACGAGCGAACGCTTTAACCACTAGGCTACCCCACCTCCCCTTTACATTGATGACCCACTCGGACCCAGTAAAATGCCAACCAGTGTATCTTTTCTATGTCTATAGTATTGTTAAGAAACTACTGGTTAGCGTCCTAATATTAGATTGACGCATGTGAGTGTATGCTGCCGTAGTCTACAGTGTTCCGGTGGGGTTAGCCTTGTGGTTAAAGTGTTCTGGTTATGTTCCCCATATGGGTGCAATGTGTGAAGACCCGGGTTAGAATTGGTCTTCAGTAACCCATGCTTGTCGTAAGAGGCGGCTAACTGGATCGGGTGGTCAGGCTCGCTGACTTGGTTGACACATGTCATCGTATCCCAATTGCGTAGATCGATGATTATGCTATTGAACACTGGATTGTCTGGTCCAGACTCGATTATTTAAAGACCGCCGCATATAGATGCAATATTGCTGATGATGCGTTAAACAACAAACCACCAAACCAACCAACAATGTGTGAAGCCGATTTCTTGTTGCTGGAATAGTACTGAAAGCGCCGTAAAACCATACTAACGCACTATACTATTCCAGCCATATATTACGACTCGGTTCAAGTACATCAGTCACTAATGCTAAGAGCATCATGGGTTACAACAAGTACCATCCATTTGGCCGCAGATCGAACATCCGACCTGGCACTATATTGGCAGAGGCTGTAACCACTAGACACTAGAGAAAGTCCACGAGTGAGTGAGTGAGTGAGTTTAGTTTTACGCCGCACTCAGCAATATTCCAGCTATATGGCGGCGGTCTGTAAATAGTCGGGTCTGGACCAGACAGTCCAGTGATCAACAGCATGAGCATCGATCTGCGCAATTGGGAACCGATGACATGTGTCAACCAAGTCAGCGAGGCTGACCACCCGATCCAGTTAGCCGCCTCTTACGACAAGCATAGTCGCCTCTTGTGGCAAGCATTGGTTGCTGAAGATCTATTCTACCCCGGATCTTCACGGGTGAAAGTCCACGAACATAGGTTCTGGATGTAATAAGGAAAAACAGAACAATCACAAGTTTGTACAATATTTACCATCGTACAGATTCATCATTTTGCATTTTTGTCTACAGTTGAAACTTGAAACTTTTGTTGAAAATTCAGAAATGTGATCAACCTCATTGTGTGAACATATAGAACATGTTTCATAAAAATATACGATCAGTATCCAGTTATAACGTAAATATTTTCCATCCGACCTGATAAATGTTCAAACTTTCAAAATATAATCCGATTGAATCAATGCTTCTCAAACAGTTTGTATCCATTTGTTACACTTTTATTCTGGTTCTAATGGTGTTATTCGTAACATACTCAGGAGTCTATTGAAATGCTTCTGTTTCTGTCCAACACTTCATTACTAACACTCAGGATAGTTTGAAGGATTTTGAGAAGAGAGTTGTTGGATTTCTATAGAAAAATGTCAAGTGTAATAAGTTTTCTTCAAAGACACCTGATGCTATCACAACGAGTCCTAATTATCCCTTAATGATGAAATAAGTGTTTTTGTAATAGTCATAATCGAAGGAGAAATTAAGGCAAATGATTATACATCTGATCCAACTAAACGCTTAACGACCAACAGAAAAGTATAATCATATTGTATCTTCGTGTTAGTACATGGTGAAATTAATATTTGTAACTCGTATACAAGTCTACTTACAGTAAGGTTAGTCTCTTTCCTTTGAGGATGTCTGGTTGTCATTTTATCCAACAGTATTTACCATGATTCTTAAGGATAGTTCTGACAATAACACAGGGACCCAAACAATAATGACGTATACGAAAAAAGCACAAGCCTAAAAGATGTAGCCCAAAACAACTGTCCAATGCTAACCGAAGACAGCATATTTTCAGTACTCCGAAGGTTCAAGGGTAATTTCCTGTAATAAATAGTTTTTATTCAATTTTGATTGAGATTAATATAACGTTATAACGATCTCATTGAATACCATCGTTACTGGACTAAATGACTCTTGTGTCAATACCAGATGGCTTTAATTGCGAGTTCTAATCATAAAGCCGTACTTGAATCTGAAATATTGTTGCCTCTTCATGTTTAGAGCAGATTGCAGTGGTATGTAAACAGCGAGCTACCGATCTTTATAGCTGAACTGTAACCCTGATAGGGGAAATGCATGATGTTGCCAAATCGGAAAACAACGAGAGATTAGATCTTGTTCATGTACATAAATCAAGGTACGTTGGGGTCTCAGATTTTCATGTTTATGCTTATGAACGGATATGAAACAGAATCCCTGTGAGTTCCTGAGTTGGCAACAACATTTTCAGCATAGTGTAAACTAGTGTATATCTTTTTATCCGTTTGAAAAACTAACGCTGAAAAGATTGAATTTCATGTTGATGAATTTTGAAACATATTTGTAGATGTAGAGAAATATTTTTAACCAAGGATGGAATTATGTGACCAAGATCAGAGTATGAACGTAACAGGTTTTGTTTTTATTTTATTCTTATGTTTTGAATGAGCCATGTCTGAAACGATTCAAAATCGATCGAAACATAAAAGCTTATCTTGATTCCATTACATTGATAACTCAGTGGCATAACGATAGAGAACCACTCACTTGACGGTTCTTTTAGATTGATTTGTCATCAACAAGCCTCAAAGAGGCAGAGTTCTAAACGTTAACATAAGCCGCATGACCAGGCCCCCTTTCCACAAACCGATCTTAGTGCAACGGCTCCCATACTGTATCAACGACTCAAGACTAACACAACACTAAGGCCGCTCTGTGGAACGAAGCTCCGGACAACAACCGCGTTGGACACTTTTGATCTTGTTATTTGTCTCGAGGTATCAGCTTGATAGGTATTTGCATTGCATAATGATGTTGGCCATGGTCCTCGGCATTGTGGGGCTTGCACTGTTGGTTGGTTTCTGAGCCACGTTTATTTCCTGGAGACGGTTTATCTAGGGCACTTTGGAGAAACAGTGCTTGTAGATATGTTTGGGAATGACGGTTTGAGCCTGTTTTTGAGCACGGAAAAGAACGTTACCTGAAACGAAAGAAATCATATAAATATACACGAAATGTCATCATGCATTTGTAGTTTGGTAAAAATCAACCATCTAAGTGCTGAAGTCCTGTTGTTCTGGTTTTGTTAATCCAATCAACCATTCCCACTCAGAAGGATACAGAAACTGACTGGGTTTGGTTTTACGCCGCTTTTAGCAATATTCCAGCAATATCACGGCGGGGGACACCAGAAATGGGCTTCACACATTGTACCCATGATACAGAAAGAGATCAGCAAGGTAAGAAGTACAGTTGGTTCTAGTGGGAATTAGGGCGGTGACGTAGGATAGTGGTTAAAGCGTTCGCTCTGATTCGATTCCCACATGGGTACAATGTGGGTACACCCTAAGCTTAACTTAATAAGGATTTGGGGACGGTAGGGTAGCCTGATGGTTAAAGCGTCCGATCGTCACGCGGAAGACTCGGGCTCGATTCCCACATGGGTACAATGTGGGTACACCCTAAGCTTAACTTAATAAGGATGTGGGGGCGGTAGGGTAGCCTGATGGTTAAAGCGTCCGATCGTCACGCGGAAGACTCGGGCTCGATTCCCCACTTGGGTACAATGTGGGTACACCCTAAGCTTAACTTAATAAGGATGTGGGGGCGGTAGGGTAGCCTGATGGTTAAAGCGTCCGATCGTCACGCGGAAGACTCGGGCTCGATTCCCCACTTGGGTACAATGTGGGTACACCCTAAGCTTAACTTAATAAGGATGTGGGGGCGGTAGGGTAGCCTGATGGTTAATACGCGGAAGACTCGGGCTCGTGGGTACAATCGGGGTACACCCTAAGTCTGATGGTTAAAGCGTCCGCTCGTCACGCTGAAGACTCGGGTTCGATTCCCCACTTGGGTACAATGTGTGAAGCCCATTTCTGGTGTTCCCCGCCGTGATATTGCTGGAATATTGCTAAAACCGGCGTAAAACCAAACTCACTCACTCACTCCAGTGGGAATTCCTACATGTAGGCTGAATGTTCTATCCCCAGGTGTAGCTTTCATATTGACATTTGCTTATACCAATGACTTACATTACATTACGCAGTGAATAAATACGAAAGACATTCTCATCAGTACAATGCATCACCATACAAGACAATGCCAGATACGCAATGTATAAAGTAATCAATAAATGTTACAATTTACGGATTTTCTAACGCAAGATATTACTTGTATGATAAAATGATCTCTTCAGACGCGATATTGCTGATCCCCTATGAAGTACAGGCATGACTATAAGCCAGGGCCTATATTTTCGAAGCTCTCTTAGTGCTAAGATAGTCGTAAGTTAATGTTAATGTATGGCACTTACGACTATCTTAGCTCTAAGAGAGCTTCGAAAATCTAGGCTCAGGTCCTAAAGTACTCAAACACTCAGGGATGGAATTTTGAAATAGCTGTTATAGTAAAAACAACAGAATTTAATCACAATTAATGTCGTTATGAGCTTGAGAAATGTAATTTCTAAGATATCACATTGCGTTTTTGTTAAATTTTGAACACAGATGAATACAATAAACCGTAGGTGGTATTGCATACAGATTCAGCCCCATAACAAAAATGTTGACTCTGACATTCAATTGATTATCTTCTTGAAAGTAGCCAAGCAAAAATACCATTTTCATTTCTTGGTGTAAGTCAGCTGTTGGAATGCTCATACGTCGATGAGTGAGATATTATTTGAAGGTGCTAACGTCAAACTTCCCAGGGGCGGATACAGCTTTTTGAGAAAGTGGGGTGCACACTATTGAGAAAAGGAGGTGCGCACACTTCATTTTCACCCGAGTTTCAATGGTCATTTAATAAACTTTCAGGGGGCCAAAAAATTCTTCCTGTGTATTACAACAAGTTGAACCAGGCAAACCAGAGGCTAATGTTATGACCATCGATATGCGCCATTCTGGCAGGCATGTCACTATTACCAAGACAACGGGTCTCATGGCAACCATGGGGTATTTAAGTCTACTGACTGTGTATGAATGAATGATGAATTGAATATTTCAATGCTGCCTTAGGTTTGAACAATAATATTGTCATAGGTTTGAACAATAATATTGTCATAGCTCGTCTCTTTTCATGTTGGAGAAAAGCCCATGTCTGAGACCTTTATCATGTTGGTGGAACCAACGGCGGGTACATACTGGTGTTGACATGCCAAGGGCAATATGACGGCACTCATTAAGGTCCGGGTTAGAATATTGATCTTCAGTAACCCATGCTTGTCGTAAGAGGCGACTAACGGGATCGGGTGGTCAGACTCGCTGATTTGGTTGACACATGTCATCGTATCCCAATTGCGTAGATCGATCGATGATTATGCTATTGATCTTATTGACGTCATCGTATCCAAATTGCGTGGATCGATGGTGTTGATCACTCAAATGTCTGGTCCATGCCCAAATATTTACAGACCGCCGTTATATACATGTATCTGGAATATTGCTGAGTGCGGCGTAAAAATAAACTCAATCAATCAATATGAGGGCAATTACTGGATTCGAACAACCACCCAAATTATATTGACTTATACCATCTGTCTATTTGTGCCTCAACATTATAGCAGGTCGTGATTGCCCTTTAACAAACACCTGGTGTCATCACCGATTTTCAGTGATCCATTTATATATGTTTCACAGCTAAGTTTCCCATTCATAAAACAGAATTTGTTTCTGGGTATAGACAAGACTGGGTATTCTTTTACACTGACGTTCTATTTTGTAAACTGTTAGAAATTCGAACGCATCTGAAGCAAACTGAGACCGTTTCATCGGGAACTGAAATCAAGATGGCGTGGAACCGAACAAGAACAAAAGCATAATGTCCTGTGGGTTGGTGTGCATCCTCTCGAAGAATAAATCTAAATGTCAAGTTGTTTAAGATTGTTTGGACATTAAGTTTGGCAGGGCGCAGGAAGCAGAACTAAAATAATGAAACACTTACAGAGTTGCGATTTTCGGCTTTTTAAGTTGCTGTGTGTGTTACTTCGTTTGCTGAAGGCGTGTTCACACGCCATGACACAGTCCCGGTACTCTCGAATCATTCGAACCAGATTGTCTCTAAGGGGAGATAACCGCTGATTGTTCCCAGATGCAGATATCAAGAACTGGATAAATTCGTTAAAGTTTAATGCTGAAACAAACACAAATTCAATCTGTTAGTGCAATAAAATCAAATAAACTCTGATCCCCAGCAGGGATTTATGAGTAGTTGGTGAATATGACGAACTGATTTGAGAGGCAGTCTGAGACTTTTATTGACTCCAGCTAGTTATACCATCCTCGGTCACCAAGGGTATAATGTTGCCATTCTTTTATGATACGTAACTGTAGGTCATGACCTACAGTGCTTGGTTCGTCATACAGGAGCTTGACGTCATGTGGTGGTGGTGACGTCACTTCCGAACGAAGCTTTAGCGACGCATGAGTCCAGTGCAATTATCATAACAGGATGGCGATATAATATACTGGAAACTCAGAAATGGGTAATTTAAAAGTTAAAGGTCTCTACGATATCTGTGACAGTTCTAATGTTATTAATCCGTGAAAATCCGGGTTAGAATTGATCATCATCACCCCATTCTGGTCGTTAGAGGGTATCGTGTTGGTCAGACTCACTGACATGCTTGATTCATGTCATCGTATCCCAACTGCGTGGATCGATGTTCATGCTGTTGATTACTGGATTGTCTAGTCCAGACTCGATTATTTACAGACCGCTGCCATATATCTGGAATTGCTGAGTGCGGCGTTAAACAACATCGCTGACGTTAAATATATTGACACATTTGCGTTTTACTCACTTTGCCTCCTGAATGAGTTGGACCAAATTCCTTTAATTCTGTGTAGGTTTGGGTTAGCCTTTTCGCATCTCTCATCACAAAAACCTGAAGTTGGGACGGCCAGCAGCAGAAGGAGCATGCATGTCGTTATGAGAAGAAACACTTGTTGCACACCATGCACGTGCTTTGTAGGCATCCCCTGCAACAACAGATGCATAATTAACAATGAGAATCCATTATGTGTAAGTGAGTGAGTGTAGTTTTACGCCACTTCAGCAATATTCCAGCAATATCACGGCTAGGACACCAGAAATGGGCTTCACACATTGTACCCATGTGGGGAATCGAACCCGGGTCTTCAGCGTGACGCGGACCCTTTAACCATCAGGCTACCCTACCTCACCTACATCCTTAAGGTGTAGAGCACTGTACGGTGTCCGAAAGGGAACAATGTAACAAATGCAGTTACGTCATTTTCGAGATCTATTGTGACGTCATTGCACATGATGTCACAATGATGTGTGGCTTGCGTCAAAAATGATGCAGGAAAACATCCTGACGTAGGATGATTCATATGTTAAAGTTATGTCGTTGCAGAATGTCGGTTAGTATCTTAATCATTCTTAATCAAACGTTACTGGATATCGAGGACATTGATTTTACTGATGCAGTAAAAACTCTAACAACTCCCCTGGCTATGAAATGAAACTCACTGGCTAAAGTGGAAGCGTTGGTGACAAATTACAGGTTTCAGGGAGGGGGAAATTGCCTATAATTGATATCTGAGATATTTCATATCCTGTAGCATGAATTTCAATGTAAAATCTGAGGGCTGTATTTGATATGCAGTTCTGATATTAAATATTTTAGTTGTCAATGCTTCAGGTGCATATATTCCGCATGTGAAATATTCCTTTATGAAACGTATTTTGAATGATATTGAGGAATGGTTTCTTACTAGCACGTGTTATCTCATTTCACCGCTCGTTGTAATACTGACAATTTTGGTTGTCATTTCTGACTAACATTCCAATGGAAAACGTGAGGGGTCGTTTAAGAGTAAATGAGTGAGTGAGTTCAGTTTTACGCCGCACTATTCCAGCTATATGGCAGCCGGCTTTAAATAATCGAGTCTGGACCAGACAATCAACAGCATGAGCATCGATCTACGCAAATGGGAACCGACGGCATGTGTCAACCAAGTCAGCGAGCCTGACCACCCGATCCTGTTAGTCGCCTCTTACGACAAGCGTGGGTTATCTTCACGGGTCGAGAGTGAATAGTGCTTACGAGACCACACCCGATTTAATGAACCCAGATACAACGTCCTCACGGAAAATATCCCAGAAAGTATGCCAGTATGATTTTGTCAACCACGCACCGCCGTGTAACGTAACACAGTTAACGAGATGTTTCACTAGGAGTCATGGCACGAAACTACATGATAGTAGCACAAGCCAAAGGCGCGTTAAAGAGGAGATTAAGAGCTTGTACGAGTTACCCGCCCTTGCAGGAAGACGTCTCTACCAACTGACGTCTCGATGGGGGAAATATGAGCATAATCAAGCCAAACAGTAGCAATCTGTCTTGTTCTTTTAAGCAAATCAAGCACCCACACAACCTATCCGAGCAAATATGCTATTTTGATTTGCTACATTAGCCTTGAACATTGGAATAAGCACCTACCATGACCCAGTTCGTGGATGAAACCGGTAGTTCTGACGAGCCAGTTTTGTTATGACAGAATGCAACAGAAATTTAAGACGGTGACAGTTGGCCTCGTCGGCGAAGAAACCTAGAATTAGTGTCACTGAAGCGACGGACTCTAACGAACATTCTTCAGCACATTTACCCTAGGCGAGTCAAAATATGTGCAATAGCAATGGTGCGAATAATGCGGATATTCTCGGTGCAACGAACCAGATGACTAATTTAAACGTTACTCTAATAATAAACTCTTCCGGAAGTCCCTATTAAAGGAAATAAATTGTTATATTTTTGGAGTGAAACATTTCTCAGTGTTTCTTTTGCTGACGGTTATAAATCACTTGAAAGCCCAGGGGCAAAACAAGAGAAGCTGGTCATTTTCAGACAATTAATTCTTGAAATATTAGATAGTAATACAGAAGTATTGATGTGGTTCAAAACTTCATTGACATTTAGTCTGCTATTATGTGTTTGATACCTCCCACCATCCCCATATTTATTTGTTTCACATCTCTAACCTCAAAAAGTAAGAGAACGTTCGGGCGAATACAAACAATAAAATTCAATAATTATAAAATAATCACTAACTGTGTGCTTTACTATATGCATTTCTGAAATAGGCACTCGGCTTTAAGTTAATGATTCATGTAGATCAAGTTGCTTTGCTGTGGAAACATGTTTTGATAAATATAGATGAAGAAAGATCAGGTTAACCTGGTTAATGTATAAGTGTGGAAATGTGAAACGTGTCAGGGCTTACATTTCCCCAACGGCGGTGAAAACTGATACAAGAAAAGTATCTATTTTTTTCACGTCGGTATAGATATTAATAGTGGGAGTTGGGAAACACAGAAAAGACAAGCAAACAGCCTTAGAATAGTACTTAGCATACCAGAACGTCAGCGTCTGGGTTCAATTATGTGCGGTTCAGAGCTCTTGTCCTGTTGGTGAAACCTATATGGAAGGAGTGATGGCCGGCAGGACTTTACCTCCATAAAAACTGGTTGGTCGGTTGTCGCCTACAAAGTACCAGCTTACGAAAACTTAAATTTGAAAACTTTAAAATTCAAATGTCATCACTTATAAACAGGTTAGATGTGCCCGATGTTTCACCAGACTGTTTTCTTCCTTTGCCAACATCATGTCCAGCAAAGTATTAATGAGCCTTCTTGTGGGGTGAGGCAAAGCGCAGGCGATGTGTAATCTAAGTAAATCAACGTGGACTTGTAGACAGTATTGCACGACTGAATGAAACCATTGGACTATTGAAGCTAACCTGAATATACACCTGATGCCGCATCTGGTATTATCGTAAATTGTTAACGTTGGTTAAATACCCCACTACAAGATAAATCGTTGCACAAGCTATATTTGTGTGGAGCCTTACAAACTGGAATATTGTTTCATGCCGCTGATTGTAAGAAGCCTTTCGGAAAGACGAAATGCATCGGTTACACAAACGTGCCTACAGGGGCATCCGCAGAAAGCTAAAGTGATTAAAATGACAAAAATCCTCACCAATTTTGGAAGGCTATCATGACGATAACTGCAATGATCAACACTTACATGTCTATGACACGTCAATACTTCAGAATGATTTGGTTTTCTTCTTGTTTTTATGTTTGGTGGGTTTTTTTGTTTGTTAATACAAAAACAAATAACATTGGGTATGAAATTATGAAGTGAATAACACCCTCCTTTAAATACTCCCTACTGCGACCAGGATCTTCACCAGAGGTGGCTCCACGAAGTCCTCAAGTCCAAACCTCGACACTCATCTCCTTCCTGGTCCGTTTCAACCTATTTTATCATATGATTCCGAAATCTGGGGTAACCAGGGTTGTAGCTGCATTAATACTATAAACAGTACAGAGTCCATTCTGGGCACTTCAATAAAACATGTTTCCACTTTCTGTCCTTTTCAGTAATACTTGACATCGTCTCTCAGTATTATTGGTCTAATTAAACCGGATAGTACCTACGAAACATATACCTCTGTTAATACTTAACATCACCTCTCGGTAACATACTTATGTAAATATTTGATACCACCTCTGAATGATACACTTCTCTAATATTTGATTCCACCTTTGAATAATATGCTTCTCTGAATATTTGATACCACATTCGAATTTCTCTATTTGATATCACCTTATACTTCAATCAATTGATATACTTCAATCTGTAAATATTTGATGATTGCCAACTCTCGGTAATGTACTTTTGTGAATATTTGATGTCAACTCTTGGTAAAATACTTCTGTCATACAAAATATCACCTCACGGTAGTATACTTCTGTTTACAAATTTTCACCTATTAATCCTTAATATCATTCATTTGCCTCTTGATAATATATTTATGCAGTTACCTGAGATCATATCTCGGTTATATACTTCTATTATAATTAATACTTAACATCATTGCCTCTCGATAATATACTTCTGTGCATACTGTAACCACTTCTCGAGATATATTTCATTAATATTCACGCATTCCAGTATTTTCCTTTACATATAAGCACCTTAAAGGTATACTAATTACGATAAGAGTGACAAGACAAGAGTGTATATCTGAAATCATAAGAAATGTCTGCTAAAAGCAGAATCGATTGAGCGATCCCGACAGTCATTGCATGTCATCTCAAGCAGTGATGACACCAGGTGTTCGTCTATTACTAACCTACTAACATAAAAATGAGGTGTCAATTAAAACAGGAATTTGATTCAACATACTTTTTCTCACGGATGCATAAAATATTTAAATAAATTCCTCCTCGCATACCTTTGGACTACACTATGGAATATATTCCTTCTGATGTTGTCTATGTTATTGACATGAATTGCTCTCATCTAACAACTTTACTCCGCACAAAACTGTTTTTTCTACAACGAAACACTGTTACACATCTACGCAAGAACATCCTAACAATATAACTTTTGACTTCCAAGGACATTTTTCCTCACATGATTGGCATAGCGGTAGGTCCCTTCAAATACTCCTTGCTGTCACTACTTGTATGAGTGGTGGGTGCTACCTGTGGAACAAGACATGCTTACCTTTTTCGCAAACACTGCATGTCATCACAGATTTTCACTGTTTTTGTCAGTGATACATTCAAGTTTCGTCATCAATTTGACGTTAACACTCAATGGAATTTGACTGATCATGAAATGACGTTGATGGTACTTATTTACCACTTGTTACTGTTGTGTAATGTATTGTTAAACGATTTTGGTATTGCATTACATTATAGTTAAGATCCAGTAGAAGTTCATAACCTAATATTTTAATAATAGTTAGTTGTCTTGAACGTATTACTATCAGACATAAGAAGTGGGGCTGAAGTTACTATTTTAAAGGCTTTAGGAATCAAGTGTCATCTGGAAGCTTTAACAGCTTAGACTAATCTATTACTGTGTGGCGATATCAAGGAGGACTTGAGACCATTATAAAGGCAAGTGCAGGGTTCTCTCGTCTTACATTACATCGAG